CTCCCCCCGGGCTCTGCTTTTGTACTGTGTCCGCTGCCTGTCCCTTTAATAATGCGGCCCCACTAGCCTTCACGTTATGTTTCCCGGTCGCCCCCAGCAGAGTGATATTGAGCACCCTCGGCCCTTTTTATTACTGGAAGCTGAGGTACGAATGAGTCTGAGCTTCTGTAACCTAGCTTGTCTCCTTTGCAGCCCATGTTTAACAGTTTTGTTTATGAACCTAACTCTGCAAATCTTATTTCCTATTTCAACATTTTTAAAAGGTTTTAATTCAATATCAACATTTGTAACTGGAATCTCTGCTAACAGTTGCTATTTGGGAGAGGGGAGTTCTTATCACTAGATGCTGTGGTTTCCCAAGTAGTAGACCCTCAACCAGCTACGTTAATTCTGCTTTCTCTCCACGCATGCTGCCAGACCTGCTGAGTTTTTGCAGAATTTTCTGTTTTGTTTATGTAGCAAACAAGAGCTGGTTTAGGTTTTTGGCCCTTTGAATCTGTTTTACCATTCAAAAGATAAGGGGCAGCACAGTGGTTAGCGCTGCTGCCTCAGTGCCAGGCACCTGGGTTCAATTCCATCCTTGGGTGACTGTAGCATTTGCATGCTTTCCCTGTGTCTGAGTGGGTTACCTCCTACAGTCTAAGGATGTGCAGGTTAGGTGGATTGGCTATGGGGAAATGTTGGGATACAGGGATGGGGTGAGTCTGGTTGGAATGCTTTTTGAAGGGTCACTGTGGACTTGTTGGGCTGAGTGACCTGCTTCCATACTGTAGTAATTCTGAGATTCATGACTGACCTGAAATTCTAATGCCACACATTATCTTTGATACCCTCTCTTTATGCTCATAAATCTGTTGACATCTTCCTTTTTTTTAAAGAATGATTTCTTGTAGCGTTTGAATTTATTTAGTGGTTACAAAATACTAGATTCCAAAAAATCAAGTTATCCAAAACATATAGGACAAATGCTACAAAAGTGTAGGTGTAAAAGTGAGTGATTTATTAAATGGTGTTTATTTTTTAAAGTTGATTTTTCAAAGTGTACTTGCAAAAATTGTATTATTCTTTTATTCAATCGCATTGCTGAACTTAATACTATCCAAAGAATCCTTGGCGTGCAGTAGGTAAATTAAGTGGTGGATTTCCTGCTTATGACTGCCCAGTCACCTCCTCATTAAAGAGGTACTTGGCCTGTAAGTGGAAATAAATTGAGATATGTAAAAGGAAGAATGCTATAAGCCAAAAAAAAATCCTAGAAAATAGGAGCAAGAACAGTCATGCAGCCAATCTAGCCACTTCCACCATTCAACACGATCATGGCTGATCCTCTGTCTTAATGCCATAACTCCTGCTCTCTTCCCATGCCCCTTGATACTTAAGTACCCAGAAATCTTATCTATTGCTCCGTAGGTGGGGTTGAGTCATAGCAAATTAATGTTGAATAACAAAATAGGAACCAGTTTTGTACACTCTTAAAAGCATTAATTTCCAGGATACACATTTCAAATATGTTCAGTTTCAGTCTAGTGAATCCCCAGTCAATGCCCACAATCTGGATACAAGAAAGTGCAATTAATATATCATTATCAGATGCCCTTCTTTCTTTCTCTTTAAATCAAGATTAGAGTTTATATGCACAACCCAGATTAAATCAAGAACCGCCATATTCTGTACAAATCATGACATTGTGAGTTGCACCTCCCCCAGGATGCTTTAAACAAAAAAAACTTTGTACATGCATTCTTTTTATAAAACTAGGTCATAGATGATAATACTGATTAACCTCCACTCGCATGAAGAAAGGACCAAAAGATCTAGAGATTTTAAGATTAATTATTTGGCTGTAGGAGAATTGAACAACTAAATAACCTGGTCACACTTCAAACCCCTACTAATGCCCACCTAGCCTTGCTGTAACCTTTATAATGCCACCTTCAAACACTTTCAGTACAAATCTAAATTTGAGACAAAGTTGAGTGATCCATTCTGGTACCTTGGAATAAACTCCATATTCACAACTGCCTAAATCCCTTTGTTTTTGCCTCTCATTAATTTATTCTCAAGTTGATTGGCAGCCACCAAAACTTCACCTGCAAGAGAACTTCTAGTTCTGTTGGAATAAAGGGCCCTGAAAAGTATTGCATTTTATAATCAATTCATACTCCAACCTGTTTTGCCACTTTTATATCTGTTGGGATTACCATTGTGAGATCTCCCATTTTAGAGATCATTTCTCCACATCATTTTTTTCTGATACAGGAAAGACTTCTATCACTGCACTCTTGCACCCTATTTTACCAATCCGTGAATTTTGCTTCTTAGCCATCAACCTAACCATTCAACTAATATTTGAACTTGGCAGCAGCTTTTTCTGCAGATCCCAAAATCGTCAATTAGACCTCTGTGGAATAAAAGTACCCTGATCACCCAATCTGGGAAATGGGTCTGTGGATGTGATAGCTTTGTCATGTGTGTATCATGGTCACTCACGATCACTCACATATGACTTCCATAACTAGGCGAATTAGACCCCCACCCCCCCCCAACAAGTTTAAATCCAGCCCTACTGCACTATCTACTGTCTCAGCCAGGAGATTCGTTTTATTTCTATTCAGGTAAAGCCCATCTCTTGTGAATAGATTTCTCTATTCCCAAAAATCGAAACCCCTCCCTTCTATACCATCCCTTAAGCAATTCAATTTCCCCTGATCTGTCTTTGCCTAAATTGTGAAGCTCATGGCACAGGTAGTATTTCTGTGATTACTGGAGATCCTGTAATTTAACCTATTCCCTAGCTCCTGAAACTGATCCTAGAAGTCCTCCACACTATCCCTCCCTATATTTTTGGTTCCCAAATGAACCACAACAACTGGTTGTTTACTGTCCCTTTCCAGAAGTATATCTAGCTGCTCTGTTATGTCCCCAACCCTTGCACCTGGAGCAATCAACTGAACAGGACTGTCAATCTCGGCTGCAAAATTGAACTCTTATGCCTCAAATTATTGAGTCACCCACTACTAATAATTTTCTAATCTGCCTACCAGCCTCCCTCTCTTTTCCCAGTGTAGCCTCAGGCGCAATGATAACATCATTTTCATCCACTCCCAACTCACCAGACTCGAAACATTAACTCTGATTTTTTTCTTCACAGATGCTGCCAGACTTGCTGAGCTTTTCCAGCAACTGAGATAACAAGGTGTAGAGCTGGATGAACACAGCAGGCCAAGCAGCATCAGAGGAGCAGGAAAGCTGACGTTTCAGGCCTAGACCCTTCTTCTGTTTTGTCATTCCCGACTCAGTCATGTTACACACTAAATAGGTATCTACAATTTTATATCTGTTAGACAGCTCCAAATTGTCCTGGTTTTCTTGGACCTATTGTCATCTTTCAGTGAATGGTCACCCATCATCTGTCATCTCAATGCTCTTCCTTGCCAGCCAATCACAATGTGGAGTGACGACCCTCTGGTATGCCTCTGCTGGAAACCCCTTCCATCTTTATGGTAGACAGAAGGAGAGCTGCTGCTCCAAATCAGCAACACGTTTTTCAAAGACTGCTGCCCTCTGTTTCACGTCTGATAACTACTTTTCAGCCATTTTTGTACATTACTGCAAGTGTCATGTGCTTTAATTTTGCACACTAGCCTCTTATGTGGGACTTTATCAAAACTTCCTGAAAATCCAAATGCACCACATCCACTAGTTCTTACCTATGCTGCTAGTTAACAGTAATGTGACAAGTAGCAAGTGACGGTAGTTGACAAGTAAAGTGAGCTGATCACCTATGTCACTTTAGGACAATTTGCTTAATTTTCTGTGATCTTTAGCACCTGATGCCATTTGTATTTGTCCAACACTTGTGAGAAACATGAAGCTTTGTTCAGACGATACAATAATGTCCTCGCTGGGTAAACTGCAGATCAACTGACTTTTCCAAAAACAAATCTTACCATGCTCCATGTCACTTTTTTTGTGTCTTTTTTTTAATAAATGCTTACTCAACAGCATAGCTTTTTAAAATTTGTGCATAGAATGAGGCCATTGCTGGCTGGGCCAGCATTTATTAACCATTTATTAATTGCACTCCTGAGGAGTATATGAACATCCACAGTTCTGTGAGGGAGTCCCAGGATTTTGACCCAGCGACAGCGAAGGAACGATAATACAGTTCCAAGTGAGGACTGTTTGTGACTTGGTGGGGAACTTGCAGGTAGTGCTGCCCTTATCCTTAGATGATGAAGGTTGCAAGAAGCTGCTGACCAAAGAACGTTTGAGAGTAGCTACAGCGCATTTTGTCCTTAGGTGTAAGTGACAGATCTTATAATGCTGCTTTCATCCTCAGTACACCAGTAACCTGTAATCGGAATATAGACTATTCAAATTCGGGCAATCATTGAGTCTTCTTTACGTAATTTAAGATTTGAACACATGGAAAGTGCAAGGATCATGAAGCAGGGAATCTTTATTTCCACTGGTTTCAGGCCATTACAAACATTACGTGCAACTTCCAACATTCCAAGCAAACATGTCCCTACTTATAATAGAAACATTTAAGCTTCTGAATTTCACCTCCATCCTCAGCATTTTCCTTCCTATTCTGAGGAAGAGGTTCTGGGGACAGTCCCTACTGTCAATTTCCTACCTTGGCTACCTGCCTTCCTTTTATTCTGCCATTTTTTAATTTTCTCAGATTTCTGGGGGTGACAGAATAAAAGTTTATGGATCAGTTCATAATCGTCAGCCATTATAGCTTTGGCCATTGCTACCCTTTGGTCTTCTACATGAATTCTTATGACAACATAGGAAAGTTTTAAATTACTTAAGAATAATTTCAATGAGAGCATCATAAATAATTTCAGTCTTTTATGCTCTTATCCATCTATCAAAATTATTTTGTTTAACTCAAACTCCATGTAAATTTGTATGTTCTGAAAACTCTGCCTGTATGCTTCTGGAACCAATTCATATGCACTTAGAATCGCTCTTCATACTCGATCATAATCTCTAGAACTTTCCTCCAGCAGGGATGCCTAAATCTTTTGTGCTTTACCAGTTAATTTACTTTGTATGAACAGTGTCCAGTATGCATTTGGCCACCCCGTTTGGGTTGCTATCTTCTCAAACGATATGAAAAACACATCCATG